ACGAGCCTAAGTCCTCTGTAAACCCACACTTGGCTGAAGGAGGCTGTTTGTCACTGTGTGTTGCAGTCACTCTGACCTGGTCTGGCCCTGAGTAAACTTCCCAATCTGAAGGGCGCCCCTCGAAGGAAGGTGGGTGTTGCTGTGTTTGGATAGACTGTGGCACGTTTCACCTGTGGACTCTTGTGTTTGTGTAAGTGGAGCTAAAAGCAGCGGAAGATCACAGCTAATGGCCTCTAATGAACGCAGTCACAGTTTGTAGAGATGCTAGATAAGACTCGGCGCCAGATCTGGTCCAAGGAGCTGTGGGCAGTGCAACAGACAAGCAATTAAGTATTAAGTGAACTATAAGTTATAACCAGTATGTGAGGAGATATGATTTGGATTATCCCCATTATGATATAAAAACTAAATTATGGCAACCCATCAAAAATGTGAAAATGAGTTTTAAGTAAGTAAAATATCCAAATATTAAAATATTGATAAATCATGGTATTAAATATGGTGATACAGTATTGTCATCTAAATATGGTGATACAGTATTGTTATCGTGGCTACTGAATTGATATCCAAGAGTATTTTTTGGCATCTTTTAGCATTTTTTTGTGACTGCACTATAATTTTGTTGCTCATTTAGTGGAAGGAAACGTGTTTATGGAGTACACTTGACATATTTTGCTGATTAAAATAGATGCACTTCAAATTAACTTTGCACAAGTAGTGATGTAACAAAGAAATATTGTTGCTAAGATTAAATTGGTTGTTAAAAAAACAGCCATATATCACAAAGTATCATGTGCAATATATTGATTATCGCATGTATCTCCATATCATGATAATATCTTATTGTGAGCCATGTATCATTTACCGTATCGAATGTGAGGTACCCTATGATTCCCAGACATAGTTTTAAGTATCACATAACATCTGAACAGACAGTAGAACAGACAGAAAGAACCACAAAAGTACAGAAATATCTCTTACCTCGTTAGGACCATTACATTGCAAATTTCAGTTATTTTATTTTTGCATGTCATCAAAAAACTATTGCAGTGCTATTCATTTTTGTCACCTCTATAACAAATTAGTGTTTAGGGTAAACACTAAGCATTCAGACTCTCCGGGAATGAAATATGCATCCTTGGTATTTTAACAATGCAGTCTAACTCAAGTACTTCAATATTTTGTGATTATTCTACAGTATAGCAACATTATTTTTCATACGTTTCCATATTAAGAAGTTTTATATGTGATACATTTTTAGCTATTGTTACTACGCCTACAGTATTCTCTTGTTGTAGTCATGGTCTGTTAGTCAAGGCTGTTTTCAGGCAAAGACATCACACCTATTTTAGACCACATTGAAAGTGCCAAATCACTGTTTTTGTACTTTTATTCGCGTAACAGCAACATTGTGTTTTTGTGTCACGTTGTCCATTACATAGGACCTGGAGATATTTGAATCACCCTACCATAAAAGTTATATTGTGCAATGTGCATATCTTTTTAGCAAAATGTGTTGTTCCAAAGGACAAAGAAAACAGTTCGAGCACCATGATCAGTGCCTCAGAGCTGAGCAGGATCAAATATCACATCTTCTGAGGATTCGTATTGATTGGCACTAACAAAAGACTAGCATGTTTCAGTCCATTAGCCAACTGGTTGCATCACAATACTTGCGTTTATCCTAATAGAGCTAACAAACTAGAATCACAGACAATTGTAAAAGTCTTATCAATGGTTGCTGCTTGTGTCTGAGCTGGTGTACAGTAGCCAGGCTCTCTTTGGAATCTAGTCAGTATTTTTCCACAATCTTTCACAATTCTTACTGCTTTTTGTGTAATTGCTATTAACCCAAGTGTTTAATAGTATTTAAATCACCTTCTGGAGTGCACACTGGCTCATAAAATCAGTAATTCGCATCAGAAATAATGAATCAATATTTGAATATGCTTCAGACTCATAAACCTCTCTTATCCTGTAATATATTGATTAGCATCACTTCTGTCTTAAGAGTATAGCTGCATTGTGTGGTGTTTTGAGACTTTTTAAGATGCCAGACACTCTTCATGATGCAACCAGCAGGCTCAAAATCCTCCTGAAAACGCCTGCAGTGAGGAGGCAGATGCTCTGTTTGCCCCTGGTCTGTAGTCACACAAACCCATAAATACACAAGGTGGGCTCCCTCTTAAATGGCTTTAGTTTCTATCATAACACCGCAGTGGTTGGGACAGAGAGGGTCCAGTTTACTGAAAAGCCACATGTCTAAAATAACCAGAGACAAGCCGCTGCTCCTTGCCTGTTTTACTGCCTGTGTCTGCACTTTATGAGCTAAAAATCCAAAAATATGTCATTGGTACAGTTGTCTGTTTATACACAAACGCCTCATTTAGTTCAAATTATAGTCTGCGGTGGCCCCAGAACAACATGGAGTTTCTTATAAAGCATGATGTGTGCGTTTTGGTGTTGCTGGTCTGTGCGTTCTGCCGTGTAAGTGTGTGTGGGAGATGTGTCATGTGACCATATACACAGGGGAGCCCTTGTTTCCACTTACTGTAAATGACACAGCTTTGCATAATGTGAGTGCTGCTGGCTAAAATCTGAAACATATGTTCTTTATTTAACATTATGAACACTTGCTTTCACACTGTGGCTTCATAATGCAATGTGAATCTGTCATTTTTGCAGCAACATCCACAAAGCCACATAGCAATAAATTTTATGTACAGTACTGCAATAGTATCATCATTGTACCCCATATGATAGTAGTCACGGATGACAGATTTCCTTCAAAATATAGTGCTGATATTTTAAGTTATTTATTTCCTGCTTTTATAGTCTTGTATTTGTGGGATTTTTATTATAATAAAAATAAAATAGTAATTTCAATTGTTGCAACTGACAAACTGGCTATGTTCATTTAGATGAACAACAAATATATTCTGTATTTTTTTTTTTATAAAAAAGCAAACTTAAACCCTATAGTTTTGACATATTTGGAAATGTTTTAGAATCTTTACAGTTCATATTTGAGCCTTCTCTCAAATGTGACTGATCCTGAATGTTGTAAGCTACACTACTTATATAATTACAGTTCTATTATTTCCATACATGTGAAGCTTCAACTTTAATAAACAGATGTTATCTTACATGGTTGAGATTTGTGCTGCTGTCACACCTCTACAATGTTTGCAATTCCAATGCAGAACTACTCTCTCAATGATTATCTCTCCTGTCATCATTTAGCTTTAGTTTAAACACTTGGTCTCATCTTAAGTTTCCATTGTGTTAGACTGCTGTGTGTCTGCTCTCTTCTGCAAAGCCCCACTAATCATTACGCCTCTGTAGAGCAACTTTCCTGTCAATCAAATGCACAGTGGCACTTTTATATCCTGGCCTCTGCCCTGTCTCTCTCTCAGCGTCTGCCCGCTGTAGAAACACAAGACAAAGGCATGACGAATAGCCGGAGGTCCCTCACAAGGAAGCACAGAAGGTGTGCCCTGTCAGTGCCAGACAATGAGCGCATTCACACCCACTGTACAACACAATACAGCAGAGGGAAGCCAAAGACAGCCAATCTCCGAAATGTCCAAGCACCAAGCCAGCACTGTCTCCTGTAAGCGACCGGCTTCAGTACAGGACCAGGGGGACACACACTGTGAACAACAAGACTATTGACACAAGATGACAACAGATGAGAGGACGAACTCAGAGCTGATGCAGAGGAGACTATGTGTGTTCTAGTGCAGGCAGGTGTGCGTACAAGCAAGGTTCAAATCATCAAATCGTGTTGATGGACACATTTCTATAATTTCATATTCTTTAATAATGCATTTCTTTAATCTAAAAGCATAGAATTGAGGAAATTAAAATTAACTTATCTTATAAATTATTTTTCAACTGGAATTGTTTTACTGAGCATCTCTTGTGCACTTTTGAGCACAATTTTACACTCATTTTATATTTGTCTGATATTTAAATTTCAACTAAAACTATTTAATTAACCTGTATTAAAAATGTATTGACTAAAATCGATTGATCATGTCAATCACACATCACATTATTCCATCTCAGCTTATCATTAGAACACAAGTCCTCAGCAACAAGGGTCTGCTCCCTCTTCCCTGTCCTGCCCCCTATCCCTCTGCCCCTGCCTTACACTTCTTACACCTGCTGTTAATTGCCTCCTGCCCTGATTTGCCCTTCTACCCCTGTTCTAACTTCCCCTCTGCCCTGTCCTTTTCAGCCCCTCTGCCTCTGCCCTGATGAGCCCCTCTGCCCCTCTCTTCTTAACTACCCATCTGCCCCTGGCTCTGCCCCTGCTCTGCTCTGCCCCTGTCATCCAGTTCTCCTGATCTGCCCTT